GGTAATTTTCCATGTTCAAGACCCTGGGCTTATACCCGGATAAATACGGTAGATCACTGATACACCTTTGTAGATTTGGTTCAAAGGCAAGACATAATAGGGTTGCAATGATCTATTTGGGTATTTTGAAATTTCAATAAAATTTAACAAGGCAGACATTTGAGTGAATATGAGCATTACACATGATGGGGGCCCGTTGTCTTGTTGAACCAGTATGTTCATTCTTTTTCTCAACAGATTGACAATATTCAACTGATGAAGGACAATGAAACGGGAAGATCAAAAGGTTATGGATTTATTACAGTAAGTATAGCCTGATTTAGCAATTTCATTTTGATTTTAATGTAGTTATTCTTCATGCGAGGAAACTTCATAAATAAGATAACATAGGAGGTAAAGCAAGTAATGCACACTAGATACTAGAGGTGAACATTTAAATAAAAAAAAAACATTCTGCTTATGAGACTAGAACCAATGCTCTCACAAATTGCCTAGCAAACACATCACACCACAACTTCCACTTAGCACTGAAAAAAAGGGATGTTTAATAACTAAGCTTATTACTGGCAGGGACTGTGAAACCTGTCCATGCCGATCCATATCACATTGCCAGCTGTTTCCGCAAAGGCCTGCCTGCAGATTGTGAAACTTGGGAAAGTAATGTTGCGGCATAAAACTTGATACATTGGTGATTGAATGTGTAAAGGTTTCTAGACCTTAAAAATGACAAAAAAAAATGAATATCTCTATTTCAGTTTCACGATGCGGAAGATGCAAAGAAAGCCTTAGAACAGCTGAATGGATTTGAATTAGCAGGACGTCCAATGAAAGTTGGCCATGTCACTGAAAGGTCTGATGCAGCTACTGATGCTTCATTTTTGGACAGTGATGATTTAGAAAGATCTGGTATAGATCTTGGGACAACAGGACGATTACAACTTATGGCCAAATTAGCTGAAGGCACAGGTTTTCAAGTTCCGGCTGCCGCAGCTGCAGCCCTTAATCCTTTAGCTGGTTTACCAGGTATTGGACTGCCAGTACTGCCAGGGACAACACCACCTCAAGTTATGCCACCACAGCCTGTCAATTTACAAGCGTCACTTGCAGCAGCACAACAACAAGCTCAGCAGCAGGCCGCAGCATTGCATCAACCACCCCCAACTGTTTCAATGCCATCAATAGCAACACCATGCTTTATGTTATCCAATATGTTTGATCCCACAAAGTAAGTTTTTTGCGTATACTCATTACATTAACCTCATGGCATAATCTATGTACAACAGAGGACAGAATAGCATGTCTGCTGGGAATCTGGAGACAGTAACTGTCCTAGCGTTTTGCAATTTACTGTAGTGTTTCATTTCACCAACTTTCTAATTTCACATTTCACAGGCTTCATCTTGAGAATTACTATACAAGGCATCAACCACAATCGATATGGACAACAAACAGTGCAGTTTTCTCGTCCCTGGTGCATGACGAGTTGATGTACATGGGAACCCCCCCCCCCCTTCCATTTTACATTTTCTTTAAAATGTAATTTGATTGTTTCATTATCTTGAGTTTACAAAGAAAGTTGTTTAGAATATTTCATGATAAAACAGTCCATGTTTTAGCTATGCTGTCATTGAAGATGACAGGCAGAGCTATTGGTATGGGTGAGGTGATTGTCCGGCGTCGTCCCGCATCAACTGTTTTTAGCTCCGCTGTCGACTTTGTCGAGCGGAGCTTATCATATGAGTGATTGTCCGTCGTCGTCCGTGTCAATGTTTTACTTTTTCTACTTCTTGAAAACTACAAGCCTGAATGCTTTGTAACTTGGTGTATATGTACCTTGGGTAGACCTCTCTCAGATTTGTTCATTTCATGATGTCTTCAATTCTCTAATTTTGGTGAATATTTTTGTAATTTTTGGTAAAAAGTGATATTTTCAACTTCTTGTTAAAAACCGCTAGTCCAATTGCTTTGATATATTATACATATAGGTACTACATGTGGACCTCTCAGATTTGTTCATTTTCTAATGATATCTTCTGTTCTTTAATTGCCATGTGCATTGCTAACAGCAGAGCTATCTCAGCCCACAGGCTGCTTGTTTTCAATCAACTTCTTGAAATGCGTTCACGCTATTGCTTTTGATACTTAGTACACATGTTCCTTGGATGGACCTTTATGAGATTTGAAGATTTTCTTCAGTTTAATGGTTGTAGATCTAAACATTTGTGTTGAGGCACTTATAATGGAATGTAAACAAACAAAAAAATTGGCCCAGACCCACAAATTATCACCTTGTACATTGCTTTATTCACAAAGTAACAATGACAAGTGATCTCGTGACTTATAGCAAAAACCTAATTCTGCCCATGCTGTTCTAATTCAGGAACTTTCTATTTTTAACCACTGACAATTAAATGCTGTCCTTGTTTTTGCTTGCAGTGAGACCAGCTCAGGTTGGGACAGAGAAATCCAAGATGATGTGATAGAAGAATGCAACAAACATGGGGGCTGTGTTCATATATATGTAGATAAAACCAATCCTTTGGGTGTTGTATACGTTAAATGTGCCACTGTACAGATCGCACAGATGGCAGTTAATGCCCTACATGGACGATGGTTTGCTGGTAAGTCGTATTCAGTACTGAAAACTGTATGGATTAAGGGGTAATGTCAAAAGATTGATGTAAAATAAAAAAAACTTAATGCTGTTAGTTTGGGGGTGGGACAGATGTTATTTATAGTATAGATTTTATTTATTTTTATAGTCATTGTTAATAAGTTTTCTTAAAAATCTAAGCTAAATTATATATTTTGTTTACATTCTAAAATTTTGTGTTTTAATATTTGACACACTCAATAAATAATAAGCCAATAATGTATTGTTTATGATCAAAGATATCTTACTGGTGATCATTGACTTGCTATTTCTGTTTTAACATTATAAATAATAAACCGTATCTGCTCTATTAGAAGCGCAAATGGACTAACAATTTCATTTTATTGTTTACTGGGTCATTAAAATATTATGTTGACAATAGTTCTACTCTGAGCAAATACAAATTGCTTGTTGAATAATACTTTGATTTGTCACACTGTAGTTTGTATTTTGGTAATTTTTAATTACCTGGTTTCTCAAATTATTTTTTTGTTGCAGGAAAAATGATAACTGCTGCCTATGTTCCTCTTGCCAACTACCACGCACTGTTTCCACAGGCCATAGCGATGACGCAACCACTTATTGGCTCGGCACAACATCCGTGATAATCATAAGCGTTAGACAATTTTAACAAATTTTTATCTACGAGTATCATGACATTTTTTATCAATCATGAATTCAGGCAAAAGTTAGAAAGTAAGCAGTTTTTGTCACAAATTCAGTTTCATTGTTTTGTTTGTCTTTGTAAATTTGAAAGAGTACATTGTGGAGATATCAACAAATTAAGCGTTCATGAATAGTTACATGCTCTTACTACCTAGTAGTATGAAGGAGATGTTTAGTTGTGTCGCTTCTATTTTGTGATTTCTGTCCTTTTCAATTTTGTTATTCTTAAATAACTGTTAACCATAATGCTGGCTGTAAACCTGTACTCTGTCAAACTGCTGTGTAATTTACTTTTATGAATAAAAGACTAAAAGTTATTTTCAGTGTATACTTGTTTTCAAGGTATTCTAGCGTATGCCCCCCCCCCCACATGTTTGTGGAAATAGCACGTTTATCACACTGGAAATTTCCCCCAAAACTATTTAGAAATGCAAATTGTAGGGAATGTCTTGTGCAATTCAGTCTTCTTAAAACTATAGAATTTTATTACACAATGCAAAGTGTGAATGTTCCAGAACTGGTTATTAAATGAAATTTGTATCATGTAATTTGAATGAGTTGCACTATGATCTGATATTCCAGTATCCTGAAAACCAGTGCATGTTCATGCCAAAATCAGCAATGTGTGTATGCCAATGCTAAAGTTTGAACCTGGCTATAGTGGTTGCTGGTGTACTATTCTTAGTCAAAACTTTCCTGTGATCTGTATAAATGCTCAAGAGAACTATTCCTAGTATCTCTCTTTACCAGTGTTGTAGTGCTAGACTGGTTCCAACTGTGCATTTAGTGTGTAAAGCCTGGCAATGAAACATTCTGATTTGAGAAGCTCTGGGTAGATTGTAAGCATTGTTACACATGTGAATATTAAATTTTCCAAACAAAATTACAGGCAATTGAGATTCGATAGTACACAATGGAAATGTATGTGCGTCTGTTCTGATGCCACCACAACCAACCATGCATCAAATTGAGTTGAAATGTTTGCGAGTAACTTTCCTAATTTGCATATTTAGCTATTTTTCTGATGTACCAATAATGTGTTGAGAACAATTTTATTGTGCCACTGTACAGCTCCCTCAGATGGCAAATTGATCAAAACTGCAAAATGTGTGTGGTGTAAAATATTTTAGCTAATGCAAATATTTCAATTATTTTTATATACCTATTGCATGCCTCAGTACATGGGAGTTGTAATCTTTCTTCAACTCTCATTAGTAAATTGCCTCCCTCAATGCAAAATTAAAATTTTTACTTGAACTTTTAAAAAAATTAGTAAGCACAGACCAATTATATTCAAACTTTATGTACTTGTATGTATTTTTGAAGTATGGTAATTTTTTCTCGTAATGTGTTCTTCTATAATGATTTAATTATTCTGTATTTGAGAAATAAATTCTTTCCTCGTCCGCCTGAATATTTTCCCCCGTCACACAAAACGAACGAAACAAAAATATTTAACGTTGGTGGCGCTTTCATGTAAACAAAGACCCGAATAAATAAACGTATTCAATCATTAGACTGTCGAGGCTGACTAGCAAGATTTCCTTCTTTCTGGACGACGAACAACAACAGAGTGGCACTGCGAAGCGGAGACATTTGCTGTATTATATGTCCATCTCTATAAACAGGTTTGCAACACATTTTTACATATTTATCTATTCTGTGGCGGCACGACGACGACTGCCATCCTTTAACAGAACGATCATATATGGCGTCGTATTCCTGCCAAAATTAGAATATGCCATTTACGCTATGCCATTTGACGCCACAACATGCCATTCTACGATGAAAGATTTGAGCAATTATATTGCAATTCCACAATGCGTCATGCAATTTCATAATGCGAGATTCGAGTATTTGTATTGTAATTTTAGCAATTTTACAATGCGTTATGCCATTCCACTATGCAAGATTCTAGTATTTGTATTGCAATTTTACAATGCGAGATTCTAGTATTCGTATTGCAATTTTACAATGCGAGATTCGAGTATTTGTATTGCAATTTCACAATGCGTCATGTCATTCCACAATGCTTCGTGCCATTTGACGCCAAAACATGCCATTTGAAGCATGCTCATTTCACAACTTCGCATTATGCGTCACACCATTTGAAGGTTTCGCATTCGACGTCACCTCATTTGAAGGAAGCTCATTCGTTGAATGCGCCGGCCCTCTGTCGGCAAATTGATAAAAATATTATCGACGAAAATTGCGCAGGAAGAAAATTTGTTATTTGCGGGATGGTCTCTCTGGGTCAGGATATATGTTAAATGTCAATTTAACATTAAATTTACTACATATATTTTCCTTTCAAGAAGGTTATCATTTAGTACATGATTATGACATCAGCCGGTGCCAAACGTAAAACAAAATTGCAGATGGTGTGTGTCTCGCTTGGAAATATGTGAATTGTAGGCTCAAAGTTTTAGTGTTTTTCCTGTGAAGTGAACGAACATAGTAACCGTTGCAAAATGATTGTCTTGTATAGTGTACCCAGTGCGTGGTCGACAACATGGCATACACATAAGCAAAATTCACGAAAATAACTCTAGCGGGACTATTATTTGCATACTTGTTTTCATCTTCTAATTGTGACTAAATGACTACAAATAGACCCGTGAAAGTATATATTTTTAGAATCGCCAGACTTCAAGCTTTTAACAAGTGTATTTTGCATGCCCGTATCTGCATTCTACGACGCGTTACTCAACCAAAGGTGAAAAATTAC